CCAGCCTCTCTGCGCCCTGCTCGGAGTTGGAACCCTGTCTAGGGACCTCCACATCCTCCAGAGCCGACTCATAGGGCCCCTCGCTGTCGGAGTCTGGTGGCAGCTCCAACGGCTCTTGCTGGGCCACAACAGATAAGCATGTATAGATGCTCTTTTTCTGAGATCTGCTTGGAATTGGGCTGTAGAGAAAATCAAGTAGGTTGTTGTAAAATCTCTGAAAAACCGAAATCTTCAACTTAAATGTTCTGACACAGCTCTCCAAGCACAACAGACCCTCGTAAGTTAACTCAAAGATTCTTTGATTAGGAGCGCCAGGAGCCCCGGCAAAAAGTTTATCTCTCATCGCAGGCTAACAAGTCTGTCTGGCTGGAAGATGAATAGTTGTCTACCACATCTATTCATCTCCACCCTCTGCCTTTTATCCCCAGAGCTAGGATGGGGTTTCGCTAGCAGTGGTGGCTCTTCATTCCCAAGGATCAGCCCACAGATTTCCACTGCTCTCCTCTCCTCTGCCTTCTGGGCATCTCACGTCAGGCACTGGACGCAGCTGTTCCTCCTCTTCCTCATCAGCCACCTCCAGACCTGGGGGCTGTTGACGCGCCATCTGGGCGCTGACTCCCCCTCCCTCTCTATCCCTCTCTCCCTCTCCCTCTCTCTCTCTCTGCCAGCTCCATTCCCTCTTTCCCCTCGGAGCTCTCAGGTTGCCTTGATGCTGTCCCTGACTCCCACACCTCCTCCTTTTCTGATTCAGCTACTGGAGGGGCCAGTGGCCGACAGGCCACAACATAGACCACAACACTAAATCAATAAACACATTAACTTAGAACCAGTATATGAACCAATCCATGACAGAACCGACCTCCCTCACAGCCGCGGAATTCCGCGCTTCACAGGAACCAGTCAGAAGTCACAAGACCAAAACCAGTCTTGTGAATCAACCAGCCTTGTGATTCAGTCAAGTCTTGTGATTCAACATGTCACAAGACCAAGCGACCATCCAGGACCTATATAAACAAACAAGGCACTTCTCTCTCTCCCTCCCTCTCTCTCTCTCTCTCTCTCTCTCTCTCCCTCTCTCTCTCTCTCACACACACACCAAAGATGTTACCTAGTTTGGTAAAGAAACATCCGGTAGCCAAGCAGTAAGCTCAGAGGACAAATCTTTGCCTAAATCTACAACTCGAGCTATGAACAGTCTCTACAATTTCTAACCTAAATCATGGCCGTGAGGCCGGGGTGACGAATAAGTGATCTCCCCATCCCTGTTCTGGTGTGCTCTTCTTTTTATTAGAAGATTAAAGGAAAAATAAAATATTTGAAATATTTCAGTTACCAAACATGCTGTTCTACTTAAGAGAATAAAATGCCACTAGAAGAGAATATATGTAACTCAGGGTGGTTCTTGGTTCTCCGAGCTTGGTTGTTTCATTATCTCACTAGGTAACATCATCAAAGCTAGTGACTGTGGGGTTTGCACCCTGTTTATAAACTGTAACTTGCCCTGCCAATGTTTATAGGGGTGTGGTTTTCTCCTTGGTAGTTCTGTGATTAGGATATTGTTTTCTGCTTGTTTGTCTGGTGCTAATCTCTGCTTATCTGGGTATTGTCTACTGGAGGGGATGTGTACTAGTCTTAAAAGACTGGGAAACTTTAAACATCCAAACAAATTCATATCCAAAAATGCTAGGGAATTCCTAGGAAATTGTCATCCAGGCAAATTAGCCACCAATACACATATGGAAATAAACCATATTTACAAATCAGTAGTGGGTTCCGGATCCTGTTTCAACCGGTACGGTGCAACGGGGCTGGGCGTCCACCACATGTTTGCAGCGTGCGCATGTGTACATACTGCCCGTGTCGCTCTGCGATGCCTCCGTGACATTCCAGCTGCTCGGCGGAGCATCATGCATGCACATGTTTGCAGCGTGCGCATGTGTACACATCGCCCGCGTTGCTCTGCGATGCCTCTGTGACATTCCAGCTGCTCGGTGGAGTATCGCGCAGGTGCGTATGCTCCATGCGCATGCGTGGAAACCCCAGAAACCTCAAATACCGGTAAGGAGCGCAGGCGGGCAGGTGGGCCCTCCGGTGCACCATACCAGAATGGTATCTGCTGCTCCCGGCAGGCACCAGTATGCCCGTACTGGGGCGTACCGGGCGTAACCCACCACTGTTACAAATGGTTCAAAAGAGAAAAAGCTAACAAGGAAACAACCAGAACATATCCCTTCCTACAGCCTGTAATATCCCTTTTTTACCTTCCTTTAGGACTAGTGGTGTAATAAGATGACTTCAGATATTGGATTTAGAGGCCTTTAGCATAAGGGTGATTTTAGGTGGATGTCCTCTATTTTAATTCCTTTAACCCCGCCTTTTCTTATTTTGCTGAGTGAGTCCTAAACACTTGTCTCTGAAGTCCTCTTCTAATGACACTCTTCTGTAGAAGGGTGATGGAAATATCTGGCACTAGAAGAGAACCAATGATGCTGAGAGACTCAGACAATATATGAATTTTAAAATAGAATAGAATAACAGAGTTGAAAAGGACCTTGGAGGACTTCTAGTCCAACCCCCTGCTTAGGCAGAAAACCTTATACAGTTTCAGACAAATGGTTATCCAACATCTTCTTAAAAACTTCCAGTGTTGGAGCTTTCACAACTTCTGGAGGGAAGCTGTTCCACTGATTAATTGTTCTCACTGTCAGGAAATTTCTCCTTAGTTCTAAGTTGATTCCCTCCATGATTAGTTTCTTCCCATTGCTTTTTGTCCTGCCCTCAAGTGGTTTGGAGAGTAGCTTCGCTCCCTCCTCTTTGTGGAAGCCCCTGAGATATTGGAATACTGCTATCATGTCAATCCTAGTCCTTCTTTTCATTAACTAGACATATCCAGTTCCTGCAACCGTTCTTCATATGTTTGAGCCTCCAGTCCCCTAATCATCTTTGTTGCTCTTCTCTGCACTCTTTCTAGAGTCTCCACATCTTTTTTACATCGTGGTGACCAAAACTGAATGCAGTATTCCAAGTGTGGCATTATAAAGTGGTATTAACCCTTCACGTGATCGTGATTCTATCCCTCTGCTGATGCAGCCTAGAACTGTGTTGCAGCCCAGTTCCAAAACACCTGTTCCAGAGTGGTCCACCTTGGCATTGGTTGGGTTGGAAGAAGACTGGGTTAAAAGAGAAAATCATTTAGAGGTGTTGTGAGCAGACTGTAGAAGAAAAGCTTGCTTTGGACTCCCAAGTTCTCATCCTTGTTTCATCTCTGTGTTTCTTAGAGCTAGAAGATCCTCAGAAAAGGATGAAAAATTATCCATGGTTAGCTCGAAAGCTTTTTCATTGCAGTTGTGTCCTAAAGCTCTTAGATAACCTCTGCTTTATTTACAGAAAATATGATCTCCAAACGCTTTCTCTCCCGTCAAGCAATTTTTCCAGCCAAAGTGACCGGGATAAGTTTGACTGATGAACTCGAGAAAAACCTGAAGCCCAAACCACCACCTTCTTCAAAGTGAGTTCTTAAATCTGAGAGCATTGCTGTGACTTTTTTCTTTAAAAAAAATATTGCTGTATATCTTATTTTTTCTCATTAAAAGTCAATTTTGCTAGCTCCATCACTTTTCCCATCCATTCTTCTGTTGGAGGATTGTTGCATTTTCCCACCTCTATACATAAATAATTCTTGATGTAGGCACCAGTGAGACGTCTCAAAGTCATTATGTCCTGGCTTATGAAACAACCTTGCACTGTGAGAAGTCCCCAGATGACCTAATTAATTTACGAGCCTCGAGACAAAGTTCAACATAAATCCATTCATTTATTTGGATCGACTTTCTGGCATGTTCTTCTGTGGAGCCGAAACTGATTTCCACTTAATTGCATTTGAACTTTACCTCTCTATCCCCTCCCTTCTTTCTGTGTCATAAATCATACCCACCAACTAGGTTGTAGAAATATGAGATCCGACTCTCCCCGAAGGTATGCATGGAATCCTCCCTCCAATGCCAACCTGATAATAGTCATGGCAATGCTTTACAAGTCGACACGTTGATTCTTTAAGTGAATATAAAGATAAAACCAGAGATTTTTCATTGGATTTGATGGAAAAAAGACTTGGAAATTTTTTTGAATCTTTGATGTTATATACCGTATTTTTTGGAGTATAAGACACTTCAGACTATAAGACGCACCTAACTTTTGGGGGGAGGAAAACAAGAAAAAAAACCTGTTCTGCCTCCCAGCATCCATCTGGTATTCATCTGGCCCATTTGCCTGTTTGCCGCCGCGCATTCGCAGCTGCTGTGGCCTGTTCATTGCCACCCATTCGCCACCCGCCGCCTGTTTGCCGCCATCGCTGCCCATTCGCCACAACAACACGTTGGGTGTGGCCCATTTTCTGCTGCTGCGGACCGTTCAACGCAGCCAGTTTGCTATGCCACGGCCCGCTCGCCACGACCCATTCACCTCAGCCTGTTTGCCACCACCGCGGCATGTTTGCCACCACCCATTCGCCACCGCCTATTTGCCACCACCGTCATCCTTTGCCACCATGGCCTATTCTACAACAGCTGATGGGCGCTGCACCAACCCCTTCACCCCGCCACAACATTTGCTATATAAGACACATTGAAATTTTCACCCATTTTTAGGGGGAGAAATGCGTCTCCGAAAAATACGGTATGTTGATGGCAAGAAGTTTACTTTAGGCACAAAAATGGAATGACTCTTCTATTCCCACCATGTATGAATGTCTGCAAAAGTTGATGGAGTTAGCAGAGATTGCCAAATCGATTGCTCTGATTAAAGAAAAGAACATAATTATTTTTTTGTTCTACTTGGAAACCATTTCTGGATTTTGTGCTTGAGGTGGAAAAAAAATAAAATTTTGATTTTGGGTTTTGCTGATTAGATAAGTTTGTTATTATAGAAATGGCTAGTTTATATTAATTTATATTATTATATAAAATTAAAAAGTTGAGGTTTGATGTTATTCTCTTATTCTACTGCACCAGCAGGAATTGGGAATCAATGCTTTATCTTTCTTTTTTGACCTTCGCCCGACACATTTCCCTTCCCTTTTATCTCCCCCATTTTCCTAATTTTTTCTTCTGTATGTTGGTACTTTATATTATATTTGGATAAACTAATAAATTTTTGAATAATAAAAAAGAAAACAACCGTGGACTGAGAGATGCTATTGCTTCTCATCCTTTCTGGCCTCGTGGTCACATTATTTTATTATTTTGTATTTTATTTAAGATGGCAAAAAGACAGGAAGAGAGAGATTTAAAAGTAAGGAAATAGCATCAATGTGTTAAAAAGAATTAGCTCTGATTGGTTCAGCCATCTTAGTCAGATCCTGGTTGATCAGACAGATGAGGCTCGGAGTCACATATTTCACCTTACATAATTCATTGTCCTTCATTGCTTTTCAATTCAAGTTTGGTAGTGATTAGCATTATTAATGAAGTCCACCTGAACTCTATCCTTCCTCTTCATTGCAAGCAATTATTGAGCCAATGTCTTCTGCACCGCTTGGCTTTTAAATATTTTAGAGGATCGTCTTGAGTAACGGAGCTTGCCAACTGTTGATCTTTTGACTGTTGGAAACTATCTCTAAAAAGCTAGCTTGCAGGCCATTCAATATCTAGGGGCATCTTGGTGTTTCGTTTGAAGCACACCTTTCTAAAAGGGGATAAAAGGTAAAGGTTTCTTGGTCAGTCCTGTCCTGTTCTACGTGACCCAATAAATGTGCGAACGACAAAAGCGCGCCGACAAAAGCGCGGCACTAAAACCGCAATGTCAAAAGCGCGCCGACAA